TTGTATGAGCCCCTAATAAAATGTTTTAAAAAAAAGAGAGAGAGAGAGAGAGAAGTAGGGGAGATGGTTGGAGAGGGAGGAAGGGATTTGGGGAGATGGGTTTAAAATTTGAAAGCGATCGCTCGATGATTGCAGAACATGCCAATGTAATTGATAGCACTAAAGTGTATGTTTGAAATGTGTTGAATTGTCAAATGTTGGAGATATTTATGTATATTTGAAAAAAGAAGGAATCTTCAAGACCATGAACTTTATTTAAAGCACAGGGATTCTGGCCTTTTCCAATGACTAGCTGGATGACCTTCTTCGAGTCCCTTAAACTCTCTGGGACTCATTTTAGCCATTTGTGAAAATAGGGGTGATAATTGTCCCTACCATATCAAACTGTTTCAAGGTTTATATGAGTGGCACATTTAACGAAGTCAGAAAGGCCTGGCAAAATATAGTGTATGGTCTAACGGTCCTCCTCTTCCCAGACTTCTCGCTACGTTTTCCGAGTGAGTGAGTGGGCTTTCTGGTATGGTCTCATTGCTCAGGTGGAATGGCGGCTGGTGAGACTTCATCACGACTCCTCGCTCTGCGCAGCCGTAAGAGCTGGGTTGCGGGGGCCGGGGTGGGGGGCTGTGTGAGGAGCGCCGAGGGGCGGGGTTGTACCTCCTGGGCTGTTCCGGGGATCGCACGCCCCGCCCGCCGCGCCCGGCGCCAGCCCTTGAGAGCAGGCGCCTCCCGCCCCCTGCATTGCTGCTGCTGCTGCTGGCCGACATGGACGTGGTGAATCAGGTATGCGCTCCAGCACCGCGGACAGAGCTCGCCGCTCCTGGCCGCCGGCCCGGGGCGCCCTGTGCGCTGTCTCTTAGGTGGTGGCCAGGGCCTTGACAGCAGAGTTCGGGTCCCCCGGCTCTGGGGTTCGGGGTCTGCGGCAAGCAAGGGCAGGAAGGGAGAGATAGAAAAAAAGGAGTGCGCTCTTTGCCGCACCGAGTGCCCTCACTGCCGCAGCGGGAGCCCTGGAGGAAGAGGGGTCCTAGGACGAGGTGGAAGGCCAGCGAAGAAGGGAGTGAGGAAGGAAGGGTGGGAGGGGGGCTGATGATAAGCTATGAAATAGAGCAACAGAAGGCGCGGGGGCAGAGGAATGGGGGGTAGGGCTGGCGCCCGCCCCTCCTAAACAGAAATGATACCCCGCGCCCCCCAGAGAAGACCTAGGGAGATGATCTGGCTTTGCCTCTCCCAAACCCTCAGTCTCTGCCTCCCCTCCCCCGCAGCACATATGCAGTGAAGCCATGTCCGAACCCTCCTCCCCCCTTAATCAGCCCAGACCCTCTCCGCCATCTCACCGCCTCAGCACCTCACCCCTCCCTAACCAGAACCAACCCTTCCCCATCTCCGTCACCACCAACCACCCCCCCACCATCTGACTCACCTTTATCATTGCAGATGCCTCCCGTCAACCCAACTCCCGCCAAGCTATGACTCACCTTCACCATTCAAGACCCCTTCCTCCACCCTAATGAGCCCTGCCCCCTCCCCACGGAGCCCCTTCGTCACCTGACTCACCTTTACCGCTTCAGATTTTCTCCCCTTCCCCACCCCATCCCCATCTGCTTCACCCCTAACCTCCACTGCCAAATGACTCATCATCACGCTGCATACCCCCCCCCCAACACCACCTCCTCACCAGCCCTAACTCCCTAGGGCAGCGGTTCTCAACCTGTGGGTCGCGACCCTTTTGGGGGTCAAACGACCTTTTCACAGGGGTCGCCCAATTTATAACAGTAGCAAAATGACAAGTTATGAAGTAGCAACGAAAATAATTTTATGGTTCGGGGCTCAGCACAACATGAATTGTATTAAACGGTCGTGGCATTAGGAAGGTGGAGAAACACTGCCCTAGAGTCTTCTCTTTTAGCCCCTGGGGTACTCACACCCTTCCCGAAGTGTCACTTTCTCCCTCTCACCCCCTCTCCGAATGCCACCCCCTCCTGACAGTCACTTGCCCCATCTCCAGGGATTTTCACCTGGCAGTTTCGCCCCTCACCTCCCTCTCTACCCCCAACTCCCCTGCCCCTTCCCTGTCATATTTTTCTCCTCAGCTGGTGGCCGGGGGTCAGTTCCGGGTAGTCAAGGAGCCCCTTGGTTTCGTGAAGGTGCTGCAATGGGTGAGTGTATGCCGAGATGAGGGTGGAGGGGCAGGGGGAGGGGAGGGGAGGTAGTGGGATCTTAAAGAGCAGAGGTGAAGTGGGGGTGGGGAGCAAGAAATGGACCCCCATGGGGGAGAGCAAGGATGGGGGAACTGGGCTCTAGAATGAAGTCCCAGGGGCGTTGGGTCAGAGAACAGATGAGCTGTGACGTCACATGGGGCCAAGGGTACCCAAACTGTAAAGGGGAAGATCCTGTTGTCCAGGCAGGGGAGGGGGAGGAAGGGGAGCCTGTAGCCCTTTGGGAGGGGGGTGTAAAGCCAGAGAAATCCAAAGAGAGTAGAGAGACAGAGAAAAGATATACAGAGAGGTGGACATACTGAGGAAAGAGCTGCAAAGATGAGTAAAGAGACCGAGAGAGTGGAAGACAGACAGATGGCGAAAGAGAAAACCCCACAGGGTATAATGATTTGAAGATAAATAGGGGAAAGGAGCAGGAAATGGGGTGAGGAAAGAGAAAAGAAACCAGTGACATGTAGAGAATGAGAGACATGGAGGAGACCAAAGAGAGAGATCCATGTAGACACCAAGTAAGAGCCAGAGGCGTCCATATTGACCAGAATCAGAGAAAGATACAGAGACACAGGAAAAGAGATATTTGAGGAAGACACACAGAGAGAGACAGAGACGGAAAAGCAGGGAGACAGAAATGGAGCGAGACAGAGGAAGAGGGGTGAAGTGGGGAGGGGGGTGGGGTGGGGGCGGGCTCAAAGCAGCCAGAGGTAGACACAGAGAAGACCCAGGGAGAGAGAGCCAGAAACAGCCATACCCCTGTAATCAGCTTGCCCTTGGACCCGATGAGCCCTGATTAGGGAGTGGGGGTGGGGGCCGGGGGATTGGTCCATCTGCTGCTGCCTATGCTGGGCTCCTGCTCAGTCCAGAGGAGGGCACCCCCTCCCACCACCTGGCATGCATATAGCTCACTGGCCATCCTCATCCCTGCTGCACAAGGTCTTTGCCATCTTCGCCTTTGCCACATGCGGCAGTTACAGCGGGGAGCTTCGGCTGAGTGTGGACTGTGTCAACAAGACTGAAAGTGACCTCAGCATCGAGGTCAAGTTCGAGTACCCCTTCAGGTGTGTTTGCATCCTGCCATACTCCTGGGATTCCCACAGACCTGGGAGAGGGTGGGGGAGGATCAATACAGGCCACCCCCTCATCCCTGGTAGCCACCACCTAGCTTATACCCATTCAGGCCACTACCTATGCACTGAGCAACTACATTGTGCCCGGCACTGCTCTGGACATCTAGGACGTAGTGGAAAGCAAGACAGACATGGGCTGTGCTCTCACGCTAGGTTCCAGAGGGAGGAGAGGGGCAGGCCACGGGCACTAAACCAGAGACTAACACAAAAGCTATGTATTTGCCTTAACCAGATAATAAGCACACAGTAATTAATTTTAGCCATTATTGTTATTTAACCCTCACGAATTCCATACACAGTTTTTGAGAACTTGGTGTCTGACAGGTCCTGCTCAAAGAGCAGAGGGCATAGCAGCGAATGAACAGATCAAAGCCCCTACCCCTGTGGTACCAACATTAACAAATAAAGAGGATGATTGCCGAAGAAATTCAAAAAAGGGATACCAATGAAGGGTGTTATGATAGAGAATAATGGGGGAGGGGTATTACTGCTTAGATATAAGGAATGATGAAACTCAGGTCAACAATTCTGGTAGTTCAAGTTCATACTTGAGGCCAGGCACTGCTGGGTGCCAGATCTACAAGGGTGAGCCCAAGCAGGCATGGTCTATGCCCTCGAACAGGTGTTTCCTTCTTGTGAGTTGTGAAAATGGAGATCTACAGGCACAATTTCTGGAGAGGCTTCTGAGGGCCTGGGTTCACATCTAGACTCATCCACTACTCAGAAGATCACCTAACTGCTCCAGGTGTCAGCTTCCAGGCCTGAAAAAGGGGATAACAATAGTAGCCACTTCACAGGGTTGGGGTATGTAATCAGTGAGTTAATACTGTGTCACAGGGATCTTGTAATGCTTGGCACACAGTGAGCGCATTGTAAGTGTTATTAAGCAAAATAAACAAATTGAAAGTAATCGGGAAAGAATTCATGGATTGAGTAGGAAATAGGACTTTTGTTTCAGGGATTAGTTTTCTTTGTTAGTTTTTTTTTTTTTAAGCACTTGAGGGTCATTGAGGCCCAAGAGATCACCCAGTGGGCAGAAAGGAGAATGAAAAGAAATGAAAGCCCAGCACAGTCCCTAAGCAAGAATCAAAAAAAGAGGAGCTACCAGGAATGCCTGGGCAGAAAGATGGGAGGGCAACCTAGGAGCCTGCTTCTTACAGAAGGCAGAGAGGAGAGAATTGGGGGAAGTGGGAGTGGACAGGACCATAGGAGTCCCATTGGGACTTCCATACCATTCACACCTAGGACCTTAAATTCTGAGGATCTGCCCATTACCTACATGTTTCTTGGAGAAAAATCTCTGCTCTGGCCACCCCTCAAGCTCCTCCCTATTACCCCATCCCCACCCTCAAGGATTCCTCAGACCTTTTGGTTGCTTGTAGGTGACCAGGAAGTGCTAGTTCCTTCCCTCAGAATCTTTGCTACCCAAGGGCATCTGGGCCATTTGCTCAGTCTCAGGATCCTAAGCCTTAGGGAACCCTCTCCTATCCTTCCCTCCACCCTGACGTCTCCCCAACTCCCTCCTCCCTCATCCTGCAGGGAAGACCTTGGACTCTTTCCCAATCTCCCCTCCCCAGCACCCTCTGTGTCCCAGAATCCCTTCTACCCTTGTGGTTTTTTGTAGACTCTGGGCTCTCAAAAAGCATAGGTTTGGGGGTATAGTTTTTGTTTTATTTGTGGTTTTGGTTTTTTGTGGGGTTTTTTTTTGGGGGGGGTTGTTTTGTTTTCCTCAGAGAGCTGAAGAAGGGTGGGAAGAAAAATTAATATGATGTAGGGGGGAAACATGGGGTTCAAAACCCAAATTTGCCATTTCCCTGCCAGCTGTGTGCCTTGATGAAAGTTAATCCACTTCTCTGAGCCTTTGTTTCCACCTCTGTACATTGCATTCCATAAACACGGACTGAACACCGACAATGTCCCAGCACTGTTCCAGGCCCTGGGAACATGACAATAAACAATACAGAGGAACTCCTGGCCTCTTGAGGTTGCAGTACACAAATCAAGCTGAAAAAGCAAATCACTGCTCCCAAGACAAATGGAACTGGGAGGGAATTTGAAAAGTGCTGGGAGTTTGCTTGAGATGTTACTAGTTTAATAGGGAAGGCCTGGCTGAGAAGGTGAACCAAGATTAAAGGAGAATAGAGAATGAGACAAACATCTATGGGGGGAAGGGCATTCCCGGCAAAGGGAACAGCCAGAACAAAGATCCTGAGGAGGGAGAGTGTTCTGAGAGGAACCAAGGGACTGGAGCGAGGATGGAGAACACAACCAAGGACATGTGATTGGTACTTAGTAGGTGCTCTGTGGATGGTTATTTCCTCTCTTCCTGGGGCTAAGTCCCAATCTTGGAGGGGGGGGCGGTCCATGACTGGGCAGGGGTGGGGCAGATGAAAGGGCTGGGCCACACCTGCTCGCCTCTCTTTGCAGGCTGCACCAAGTGTACTTTGACGCCCCCACCTGCCAAGGAAGCAATACTAAGATCTTTTTGGTGGGGGACTACTCCTCTTCAGCTGAATTCTTTGTCACGGTGGCTGTGTTTGCCTTCCTCTACTCCATGGGGGCTCTGGCCACCTACATCTTCCTGCAGAACAAGTACCGAGAGAACAACAAAGGGCCCATGCTGGTGAGTCTCCACAGCCGTTTGCATGCAGGGTTCTGGGGGACACAGAGAGCCTCAGGGATATAGCAAAGACCTCATCAAATGCCAGACAGACTGCCCAAACCAGCAGCCACCACGCTCAGAGCTTCACATGCTGTTACTGTGAGTCCACACCAGTTGTCAGGACCTGGGGTCACAAAGACATACAGACTCACAGCCCACACAAAATCGGCAGATGGGCCCACACTTGTGAACTTGCCAGTACTCATACAATCACGCATTCTAGATGAAAGAAAGGCGCACACATAGGCTCCCTGTGACAGCCAGGCATGTCATCATGCCATACAATCACACTGATACCGACCCAGCTGTACCCACACACCTTCATCCCAGACACAAAAGGACTCACATTTACACATGCAGATGAAATTGGAATGATATGCCTTTCCACAGGGTGGGAAACCATTCCATAAGCTTCCTTCTGTCACCCCGACACAACTATCACCTCACACTCACACCCCCTGTTGTCACATACGTACACACAAACCTGAGCTGGGAGAACTATCTTCAGGGAGAGTGTTGGGACGTTTAGGGTTTAACAGAGCAAAAGAGAGAGGGGCCTCTTTTGGGGGAATCCTCACTCCAAAAAGCCTATGATCTAAAGAGGCCTCATGGCTGGATGAGAATCAGTCCATTCACTGTGTCATCACATCCACCTATCCCTCTCCATCCCCGCCTACCTTAGGACTTTCTGGCCACGGCAGTGTTCGCCTTCATGTGGCTGGTTAGCTCATCGGCGTGGGCCAAGGGACTGTCAGATGTGAAGATGGCCACAGACCCAGAGAACATTATCAAAGAGATGACTGTCTGCCGCCAGGCGGGGAACACATGCAAGGAGCTAAGAGACCCTGTGACCTCTGGCCTCAACACCTCAGTGGTGAGCCTTGGGAAGCTGACTGGGAAGAGGGCAGGGGGGTGGCTGGAAATTTTATAATCTGGTGTGGGGAGTGGTAGGGAGACAGAAGGAGAGAAGGCAACAGAAAGGCATCAGGACTCTCCGGAAGAAGTATGCTAAAAGCAGAGAGAGCCCTATGGGATGAGATCGAGATTAGAACCACCATGACGTCCTACTGTCCACATTAGGGCTGGGAAATTTTGAGCCAAGCCCAGCCTAGTCCTGTAGAATCCTCAGTATTGGATCCACTAACTGCTCCAGCAGAGGATCAACAAAAAAAGAGGAGCACCCTCAAGGAGATGGATTGCAATAATGGCTGCAATAATGGCTGCAATAATGGGCTCAAACATAGGAAAGATTCCGAAGACCTGGAAGTGCGTTTTGTTCCGTAGGAATCTGAGGGCAACTCATAATAATGTGGCCAGAGTCAGATTGTGTGGGTTCAAATCCCAGCTCTGCATTTTCAAGCTCTGTGGTCTAAAATGGGAGCCTCCTGGTGGCCCTAGTTGGGCTGCTATCGCTAAGTCGGCATTCTAAACCCCAGCCACTCCATGGGAGAAAGATGAGGCTTTCTACTCCCGTCAAGAGTTCCAGTCTCAGAAACCTACAGGGGCATTTCTACACTGTCCTGCAGGGTCGGTATGAGTCAGAATTAACTCAGTGGCAGTGAGTGATTTACCCACTCAGGCCTCAATTTGAGTGTGTAAATGTAATACTAAGTTCTGCTCCACATTTGAGTATTTAGTGAACTGATAACATATTAAATGCTTAGGAAAAAGCCTGACATGAGGTAAGTTATAATGTGTTGTATAAATGTTACAGATGTACATCTTTTATAGACTTTAGTATGTGTGTAAATAGATAATGTATATTTTGCACATATTATAGGAATAGTATGTGTATATATCCATATGTATGCATATAATGTATGTGGAGTCCCTGGGTAGTACAAATGTTGGGCTGCTAACCAAAAGGTTGGAGGTTCAAGTTTACCCAGAGGCACCTACCAAGAATGACCTGACAATGGACTCCCAAGAAACCAGCCACTGAAAGCTCTATGGAGTACAGTTCTACTTTCATGCACATGGAGTTGCCATGAACCCAGATCAACTCGATGGCAACTGGTTTGGGTTGGGTTATATAACAGCTCTATCTGTATGTATAATCCCAAGAGGATCAGATTCCAACATTCTTTTCTGGCACTTGCTGGTTAGATAGCCTTGGACAACTTCTCTGGGCCCGTTGCCTTTATTACTGTGGCATGAAGCTGTTACTTCTTTGTCTCAAAATTGAATTTTCAATGAGCTGGTAACCATGAGGACCCTGGTGTTGCAGTTGCTAACCAAAAGGTCAGAGGGTGGGCAGTTGGAACCTACAAATCATCCTACAGGAGAAAGATGTGGTAGGCTGCTCTGGTAACGATTATAGCACTGTAAACACTATGGGGGCAATTCTATTGTCCTACAGGGTGGCTATGAGTCAACTCAATGGCACCGGGTTTTGTTAAAGTGCTTAGAAGAGGGCTTATATAGTCAAGGTTATGTAACATATCTTCTATGTTATATATTTATATAAAATCCACATATTTACATTTTAACTTGAATTATTTATACCTGTGTTTATACATTTGTATATACATATGCATTTATATACATCTATAAATGGTATATCTATATATTTTATAAAATTTGTTTACAATTTACTACATACTACAAATTTAAGCTTACCATAGTATATATTATGTGCCTATATATTAATCCAGTGCCATTGAGTCAACCGTGATGCATCTCGATGCCATAAAGTGGATGCTGACTCATAGTGACCCTATAGGACAGGGTAGAACTGCCCCTGTGAGTTTCCAAGACTGTGTGTCTGACACATAGGGTTTCCGGGGCTATACATCTTTATAGAACAGACAGCTTCATCTTTCTCCCATGGAGCAACTGGTGTGCTTGAACCAAGGACCTTGAGGTTAGCAGCCCAATGCCTAACCAACAGCACCACCAGGGCTCCTTGTATATATAAAACTCGTGTACAAATGTATGTACAAACATGTAAATATTTACATATGGAATACTGATAGATCTCAACATTACCGGGAATGTTAAGATCTAACACACACACACACACACACACACACACACACGGTGATTTTTCTGCACTTTGATGTTTACAAGTGGGGACTTGAAGGGCGCAGGTTTCAGAAATCACCACCGGACCTTCCCCAGGGCTGTCAAGGCAATGCGTGTGGGCCGACAGCGGGGCCTCATCTCGTCTCCCTACAGGTGTTCGGCTTCTTGAACCTCGTGCTCTGGGTCGGCAACCTGTGGTTCGTGTTCAAGGAGACAGGTTGGGCCGCCCCGTTCCTGCGTGCACCCCCCGGCGCCCCCGAGAAGCAGCCGGCGCCCGGAGACGCCTACGGGGAGGCCGGCTACGGGCAGGGCCCCGGCGGCTACGGGCCCCAGGATTCCTACGGGCCCCAAGGTGGCTACCAGCCCGATTACGGGCAGCCCGCTAGCGGCGGCGGCGGCTACGGGCCCCAGGCTGACTACGGGCAGCAAGGCTACGGCCCACAGGGGGCGCCCACCTCCTTCTCCAATCAGATGTAACCTGGTGAGTGACTGGCGGGCGGGGTGGCCAAAGAGGGACAAAGAAACGAGACAGGGCAGTCAGCGAAACAGGGGCGGAAGTTTGAAGGCGCCAAAAGATGTGGGGCTACAGCTAATATCGACAAACTACCCAATCAAAGGGAAGCAGGAGAGTGGTCCTTGAAGACAAACGGAATGAAGGACCAATAGGAAGGGGTGTGTGTGTGTGTGTGTGTGTGTGTGTGTGTGTGTGTGTGTGTGTGTAAGGCGGGTGTGCAGCTCTGCAGAAAGTGGGAGGGAGGAACGGGCGGAGCAACCAATGACAAAAGGGAAGCTGTGCAGTGACAAATTAGCGGAGCTCAAGAGCCACGGAAGGGGCGAAAAGGTGGGCCTTAGAAGTGATTGATGACCAATAGGAACTAAGACCAACGATCATGATAAATAGGCTTGGCTCTTGAAGGTCAGACGAGCTCGCCAATCCTGAAATGGTAAGTAATAGCTCTGCTGCCTCTTCCCAGCGCTCTAGGTGAGTAGAAGTGGTGTGGAATTTCAAAGAAGGAAAAGGTGGGGCAGGAACTGTCGAGGCTTCCTACCGGACCTTCGAAAAGAAGCGAGGCGCCTCTGAGTGGCGCAAATGCTTAAGCACTCACTGCCCTACTAAATAAAAGGCGGTTCAAATCCACCCAAAGGTGAAAAGGTAAGGCCTGGCAATCTTCTCCCGAAAGGTCACAGCCTTGAAAAACCCTATGGAAGAACAAGTAAAAAGAAGTGAGGTTTCCAAGTGAGGGGAGAAGGTGGGAAGAAGAGATGTTTTTGACAGAGATGGTGCAGGGGTCACCTTGTGACCGGGGTTGTTTCCGGCACCAGGGTGGCCAGGGTGGAAAGGGAAGAGTTTATTAGGCATCTTGCCTTTAATTCAGCAAAATAAATCCTGTTGGCTCTACCTTCAAAATGTATGCATATTCCTCCCATGTCTCACTATCATGTCTCCCAGAGATCTACACACACACCTCCACCCACTGACATTCTGTTCTATACACAGTGCCAAAGAGATTCTGTGAAGTCCTAAATCAGAACCTCCTTTGCTCAGAAACCTGCCATCGCTCCCATCTCTCTCACATTAAAAGCCAAAGACTTCATTGTGGTTACTTTTCTGACCCCACATCCTACCACTCTCGACCCTCACTCACTCTGCTGCAACCACACTGGCCACCTCTTGGTTCCCCAAGCACAATACGGAGTTCAGCTTTCAGTGGCTTGTACTTGCCTCTTTCTTTTCCTGGAATTTGACACCCATACAACAGATAATCTTATCTGACTAGCACATTCTCATCCTTTTGGTCACTTATTTACAGAGGTTTTGCCTCCTCCTTGTTATCTCTCTCATAGTATGCTGTGCTTTTCTTTATCGCCATTTCAATTACTAGTTTGTTATATTGGCTGTCTCCCTGATAAGCATTGGGCCATAACCACCAGGCTAGCAGTTCAAACCCACTAGCCGCTGGGTGGGGGTGGAAGAACAAGGCTTTCTTCTGTAAAGATTTACAGCCTCAGAAACTCTATATGAAGCCCTTATGGTGTAGTGAGTTATGAGTTGAGCTGCTAACTGTAAGGTCAGCAATTCAAAACCACCTTCATGGGAGAAAGACGAGACTTTCTACTCCCATAAAGATTTACAGTCTCGGAAACACACAGGGACAGTTCTAATCTGCCCTATAGGTGGCTGTGAGTCAGAATTGACTCAATGGCAGGGAGTCCAAATAGACTGGACAGCTCAGCTGCTGCGGGTCTCCCCCTCTAGACTAGGAAGGGGACCATGCCTTATTCATGCTGAGCACTCACCTAGAGCACATTTCTTGAGTAAATTACAGAAGCAAGATAACATGCCCCAAACCCTCCCCTTACTCACATGTCATTCAGAGACAAAAGCAAAATCTTCACAGCCTAGTGCACAAGGTCCCACGTGATCCCATTACCTACCTCCCTGACCTTACTTCCTATTACTCTCCCCCTCTCTCATTCTACTTCAGCCCCACTGGCCTCCTTGCTGTTCTTCAAATACATTCGACACAGGCTTACCCTTGGACTTGTGCATTGGTTGTTCTCCCCCCTCCTGCCTGGAATGCTCTCTCCATCCCACCCCCACCCCCCATCCACCCGAGGGGCTCAAGGCTTGGTTCAAGTCTCACTTCCTTAGTGAGACCTTCCCTGACCATTGAGGACACAATCAGGGATGTCTTCCCAGTAGGGGGAGCTGGGATGAAGCCAAATCCAGGGATAGGAGTAAAGGGAGAAGGAAGGAAGACCATGCATATCCCGGAGAGAGTGATGCCTGGATGAAGGTTGAGTGGCCTAACCCCTCCCTGAGGGCACCACCTGTACCTAGGCCCCCTCTCCTTTCTGTTTCTTTTGTCTCCACAGGTCAATACAGCCCAGGAGGACCCTATGGGTGGGCAAGAGCCCAGGAGAAGGCCTGCTCCCCTCCCTATCCCACCCCCAGGTCTCCACCCCTCAAATTAGGAGACCTTGTCTTTGCTGTTTATATATATATGTATACATACATATATATATGTGTGTGTGTGTGTGTGTATATACATATATCTCTGTCTGAGGCCTGCCCTCACTCCTCTTCTCCCCATGCATTAGGGGCCTAGCCTTGAGTAGGCCCCTCTCTCAATACTGTCCCTTCCTCTGCATCCCTCAACCCCTCTCTGCTCCCCAGCCCTGTCCCCTGAGGTTGGAGGGCTCTGGAAGGGGACAGACCTTGGCTGTGTGGGGAGGGCGGATGTGACTTCAGACTCTCTCCTCTTTCTCCCTCCCCTTCTCCCAACTCTGGCCTTCATTCTTCCAGCAATGCCTGAACAGGGGCCATTAGGGGACATTTCAATCCTGAGTGTGGGAGAAAGGCAGAGACTGGGTGGGGGCTCGGGGTGGCAAGGACAGCTTGGGACCCAAGGGTAGTCTTAAATGAAAGCTCTGGAAGGGAGCAGACATTTGGGTTCCAGACATACTGGAGTCTGAAGATGGGGACACTTAGCAGCAGGGCTTGGAAAGAAGCTGAAAGCATAGTTTGAGTAGGGATGGGGCTTTGGAGTAGGACCTGGCTCTCTGGAAAGGGTGTGACATGGCAGATGGGAGCATGGTTTGGAAGAAGTCAGAATTATTCTAGAGGAAGTGGAGCTTGAACCAGCAGGAAGGGAAGCTCCAGAATAGAGACGGCTTAGATTCAGACCAGAGTCTATGGAAGGAGTGTGCCTTGAAAACTACAGCAGACTGAGCTTGGTTCAGTTCTTGAATGCAGTTCTTGAAAAACGCAAGTTGATTTCAGGATGGGGCCACACACTTGGGGTGAGGCCACGACCATGGCCTAGATGAACAGAAGCTTAGAGCGGGGCAACGATGTTAGTTTCAGAAGGGGCAGACAGCCCACCACCTCCCAATAGAGCAACAAAAAGCCAGTGGGCTTGCGCAGTAGGAGAAAGAGTGCTTGTTCCGGGGTGCAGGTTGTGTTTTGTGGGGTGTGGGCAGCAGGGATGTCCCTAGTCAAGACTAGGGGGTAATCCCCTGGGCAAGTCTGCAAACAGGAGTAGCTTAAGAAGGGCTGTCAGGTATGGGTTGGAGGATGAGGGGTAGAGTCTAGAAAGAAGCACCCCTACATCCTTGCCCATCTTCATGCCAGGACAACTAGGATATCAGAGGACAGAGCCAACAGGTCTGTGGGGCCCACCAACCCCGGTCCCTTCCTCCCTCCCCAATTTCCTCCCTCCCATCCCACCCCTGGGGTGGTTGGAAGCCGGGTCTGGAGCCCCATCCTGCACCCTCTGCTGTTCTGTGATGTCGGTAGTGCCTGTGATCGTGCGTTGCCATTTTGTCCGGCTGTGGCCCTCCCCTCCTCCAGACCCCCCCGCTCCCCCTGACCCCCTTAGGTATTGTTTGAAGACCCCCCCTCCCCAAGGAAGAACAAATATGATGAATTCTCCTCCCCTGAATAAACTCAACCACCTAGTCAGCCCCGCTCTGATGTCTCGATGCGTCCTTTTTGTGGGGAAGAAGAGAAGTGAGGGGGGAGAAGAGGTGAGGGGCGGTTCTGCCTCTGACATGTGGGACACCTTTTCAATGTCCTCACTATCTCAAGCCCCTCCTAGAGAATTCAGCCAAGGATCTGCCCAGCCTTACTACCCATCTCAAAGGCAGAGTGGCCCCCCACAGTCCCCACACCTAGCCTGGGAATCCCGTCGTTCAAGGGCTTGGTTCTTTTTCTAACCCTCTTCCCCACAAATCCCCAGGAGGTTCAAAAGGGACCCCCACACTTCACAAAGAAACCGCACCCTCCTCCGTATTCTTTAGAGCTGACTACCTCTCAATGTTATTGCAGCAACTCCAAACTGGGTAGACCAGCAGGTAGCCAGACCAGTCCTGGAGGTGGGACCAAGAGTGAGTCAATTGTTAAATAATTCATTCCCGGCACACCTCCTAGCTGTTCCCTGGGGCCAGAAGAGGCGGGAAGTGACCAGGCCTGTGTAATGAGGAAGGGAGGTGATCCGCTGGCGCCCGTGATGAAAGGTGCAGCTGACTGTTGCTGTTACCCTGCCGCCGCCAGGCCTAATTAGAGACCCCTGCCCGGCGCCGGGGTTCTTAGCCGGGCATCCCTCCTCCCAGCCCTGAGGCATTGCAAAGCGTGGAAGAAAAACTCCCAGCTCCAGGATTTAAGGAACAGGATACTGGAGAGAGAGAAATGTGGGCGGTGAAGAGAAGGCTTAACGACGTCAGGATTCAGGGGGCAAGCTTGTTAGGGAAAGGGTGGGTGGTGAAGGGGCGGAGGCTGGGAGCCCAGTCAATGACTTACGCCCCTTCCCTGCAATCTCAAATAAGCCTACTAATAGGTGAATGAGAATAGCTATTTTAAGCCTAGTTTACTGATATGGTCGCGGAAGCACCAGTGGGGTTTGGGGATCATTCTTCCAGCATTCACGAGAGGAGAGTCCGGGAAACCCTCAGGACATCACCAGGGGAGAGAAGGCCAGGAGGTGCCTTTAACCTATTGTCCAAATCCCTCAAGTAAACATTCTAAATAAGTCCACGCAAAGTGTCCATCCAAGTCCCCCTAGCGCACCACCCCTTCCTGTCAGGACACCGCCTCCCACCCCACCCAGCCATCCACGCGCACTCCACAGCGCTCTCAATCCCTAGAATGCCCGGTGAGAAGCCCCCTGGCACACGGAGATCTGGGGGCCTTTGTCTTCTGATGCCAGGCCCAGGAGGGGGCGGGAGAGCAGTGGGCTTTCAGGTAGAACATTCCAAGGCTGTGTGCTTCTCACCTTTAGGCTGGGGGCGCCTTGTGGGGGGAGGGGCGCAGGGAGAGACTACCGGCCTGGGGGCGGGCTCTGCAAGCCGCGCTCCTCCCAAGCCGGTGTCAAGTTTACGGAACCAAGCTGCCCGGCCGGGCACACGGTGGCCTGTTGGACGCAAGGATTCCATTAGCCTGACCTGGTCCGGCCTGACCCTGCCGGGGCGCGCCATGTTCGCGCGTGGGTCCCGGAGGCGGCGCTCTGGGCGCACGGTGAGCAGGACTCAGGGAAGTGGGGGGGGGGGATAGGGGTAAACTGAGGCCTGGGGCAGGGGGTAGGGATAGGGAGGTACTCCACCGGTGGGTCAGTGGAACCCCCAGCCCCAAGGTTCCCAGACGGGGGTGGGGGTGGGGGTGGGGGGGATGGAGAGGGTGGGCGGTGGCTCTGGGGCTCCTAGAGGTGTGTGGATAGAGGAATTTCTAGATCTGGTGGCCCCAGCTCTGTAATCCCCTCTCCACCTACCTTTACCAGACCCCTGAAACATGGTGACTCCCCAGGTGAATTATGGGAGGGGATTCTGGAGGTCAAAAGACTGGGTCTTGGGGTCCTCCATTGTGCAGAGACTCCTGAACTTCTGAAGGAAGGGGGACCCTGTACCCTTGGAGGTACATAAAGAAGTGGGGTCCTACCTTTTGGGTTACCCAGTGAAGGTTTAGAAACTGGAATTTCAGGGGATAAATGACTTTTAACCCATCCCCCACCCTCCAGATAAACAGGGAGCTTTTGACGTCCTACGTAGGAGGAGGTCTCTTCCTTTGGAGGCGATCCTGTGCTGGGGTCAGTGGCCTCTGGTTTGGGTAGTCCAGTGAAGCAGTGAATAGTCCTAGGACCTGAGGAAGGCAGCAGGGGTGGGGGCTTCTGAATGGAAATATTTCTTGGGTATGAGAAGATATATTGCGAAAGGGAGTTTCTGGCCTAAGTCATTGGGGTCCCTGAGCTCCTGAGGGGGGAAGGTGACTTATGTGACCATCCCCAGAAAGAGTGGGGTGCCAAACTCCTGTAAATTGTGGAAATTGGATGATGCTGGCCTCATGGATGGGGAGGGGGCTGCAAATGAGGCTTGGCTGGGGGCACTTAGTTAAGGACTCTGTCCTTTGTTGGGGAGAATACTTGGGGTTCTTGGGGAGGTATTTAAGGTCTGGAGGGATTGAGGCTGAGTAAGAGGGTCCTAGGTCCATCTGAGAAGGGGAAGTTCACTGAGAAATGGGCATATAGGGAGGTGGACTCAGCTGCATGTCCCCCTCCTCCACTCTCCCAGAGCTGCCCCAGCCTGCCCAGCTCTGCCCTGATGGAACAGGCCCCAGCGTGTGGTTATAGCTATGAAGTAGAGAGGGGCGGGCCTTGACTTCTCCCTCTCTGTCCTTTGGATCCCACGTCTCTCCCGCCCGCCCACTACAGCCTCCAGAAGCGGAGGACCCAGACCGTGGCCAGCCCTGCAACTCCTGTCGGGAGCAGTGTCCTGGCTTCCTGCTGCATGGTTGGAGGTAGGCGACCCGCCCCCACCCAAGGCTCCATCTTATTCAGAGCTCCGCCCCTGGGGAAAACCTCCAGGGCTTAGGCCACGCCTCCTGTGTGGGAAAGAGCCTCAGGCTCAAATTCAGAGTCCCGCCCCTGACTCATTTCCCAGGAGTCCAGCTTCTAGGTGAGTCCCACCCACTACTCACACCCAAACCGGGTAACATCCCACCACTAAGGAGATCCTCCCACCTCCAACCCTCCACCCTGTAAGATCAGAACTCTTTTCCCAGACCCAGGGTCTTAAGATCCTATCAGAATCCCACACTCAGAAAGTTTCATAAGAGAGCCCAACACCTCCTACCTGAGGGCTATCAACAAACCCTGAGCTCTGCCTGTAAATTCAGAGCCTCATCACAGAATAGAGCCCACCCCTAGGGAACGTTCTCCACCAGACTCACAGCCAAGATCCCAGCTCACAGGCCTGTCCCTGAGACCTGTCCCCACTCCAATCCCATGGATGATAATCCTCCACCCGTCCCTGTCCTTCAGTTGGACTTCCTTGGTCTGTTGAAGGATCCAGGGGACAACACAATTAGTTAACTGACCCCCATCCCAAACCCCTTAGAAAGATCTGCCAGCACTGCAAATGCCCCCGGGAGGAGCACGCAGTGCACTCGGTGCCCGTGGACCTGGAACGCATCATGTGTCGGCTAATCTCAGACTTCCAGCGCCACTCCATCTCGGACGACGACTCGGGCTGTGCCTCTGAGGAGTATGCATGGGTGCCCCCAGGGCTCAAGCCTGAGCAGGTGACCAGAGGCTGGCTACTCCCTCTTGTTCTCCAGTGGGTTCATGCACTCACATGCCCACGCCTACTCAGATGTGCTATGCTGTTGGGGGAGGGGGTGTCCCAGGGAATATAGCTAGACTGTAGGTGTCCTTCTGACTTTTCGGTGATCTAGAGGCAGCCAACTCCCATATTTCACTGGGGACCCCAAGTGAGCCCCAGACCAGTTCCTCAGGACCTGTTCACCACAATCCTGGTCTGCTTACCTCTGACGTTACCCCAGCACTTTGTTCACCCCATCTCCATCGGTGCCTTCATTCAGCAAGTACTTATTGCATGCTGGCTGTGTGTCAAACACTGTCCTAGACACTGAGGATAGAGCAGTGAACAACACCCCACCCCTCACCCCCAAATGTATCTGCCTGCCAGGAGGTTAGATTCCAGAAAGGAATGGCAGTCCAATAAGAAAACCTGTAAATGTATGTCAGGTGCTGCAAAGGTGGGGTGGTGGAATGGAAGAGACTTGCATTTTAAAGAGGATGCCCAGGTAGGCCTTTCTGAGAAGTCGACATTTTAGCTTCCCTGAAGGTGGTAAAGAAGTAAACCATGCAGTGTTGGGGTAAGAGCTATCCGAGTAAATGGAATCGCCGGTGCAAGGTGAAAGTGTGCTTTGCATGTATAGGAACCTATAAGAGAGCTATAAGGCTGGAACAGGCAGAGGGAGAGGGGAAGAGTGGTTGCAAGTAAGGTCCGAGAGGTGACAGGGGCTGCAGAGAGGCCTTTGGCTTTTACTCTGAATGAGAGGAGAGCTGCAAGAGGGTTGTGAGCTGAGGAGCCATGTAATCTGTCTTATGATATAACAGGATCTCTGGAAGCTGGGTATAGGACAGACTATAGGGGCAACAGTGGAAGTAGGGGAACTGGTGAGGAGGCTATTCCGATGGTCCAGGTAATTGATGATGGTTCTGGCAATGGAAATAATGAGAAGTAGTTCAATTCTGGAAATAGTTTCAAAGTAGAGATCGAGGATTTGATTATGAGAAGGAGAGAGGTCAAAGATGACCCTCAGGATGGACTTGCCGGTAACTGATACGGAGAAAGCCAAAGCAGGAGCACGTTTGAGGGATGCTATCCTAAGTTTCATTTCAGGCATCTTGAGTTTAAGATGCCTGCTAAACATCTAAATGGTGGTTTGACTGGCACTCAGGGAGAGCGCAGGGCTGGAGATACGTCCTCGGGAGCCATTAGCAACAGGGTCGCCATGGGTCAGAATTGACTAGGAGGGAGTGAGAGCCCAATACTATTACATACACCCGTGAGATTAATGGGATTCCCAAGAGAATAAATGTAGATAGAATCAAAGAGATGACCAAAACCTGAGCCCAAAGACCCTCTCACATTGAGAGGTCAGCTAGTTGAAGAGGAAGGAAAAGAGAGACCACGAAGGGGCCACCAACATGGTAAAAGAAAAACCAGAAGCGTGTCCTGACAGCGGAGGGGCGACAGTGTTTCCAGGAAGAGGGAGTGGCCAGTGGGTCCAGGGCAAGTTGGATGAGGACCAAGATTTGAACAATGATTTTAACAGTGCGGACGTCATCGGTGACCTAGACAGATGCCGAGAGGGTAGCAGGCTGAAGGGAGTGGTCAAGAGAGAATAGGACTCTTGGAACTTAGAACAAAAAGAATTTTCTTGTGTGGGGCTTCCTTGACTAAGAGATGTGAGTGGGTGGTAACGTCCTCAAAAAATCCTACAGTACATTCAATGGAGTTTTCATGTCACATAGCTTAATTAGCTGAAAAAACAAAATTGCACCTTACTGAAAATAGTGCTCTCAAGGGGCAGGTAGGCATGATTCTGGGGATCCCATTGCACACAGTCATTAAGCATAGATTTGGATGGAAGAATACATGGAACCACATGGCTTTTCAAACAGTCTTCCCTAAAGAGTGCTTCTCTTAGCAGCTCTTTGGAGAGGATTTGGGTAATAGGCAGTTCAAACCTGGACTATAACTACTGTGCTTTGTTAATTAAGTGTAGGTGCAGTCACCAACATCCCATCCAGCGTGCGCTCAAATTGAGTTGTGCAGTGAAAATTCCTCAAGTCAAAAGAGAAAAACTGAAGAAATTATATCAAATGGACTTCCAAAAATTATGTATTTTTAATGTTCTTACCAATCGAACTTCCTTCAGTGATGTTGAGAGAGGGAGAGAGAAGGTGAGGAGAGAAAATAGAGACCGCAAATGCAGGTAACTCCTTTGAAGAGCTTTTCTGTAAAGAAAAGGAAGATGGTGCGACAGCTGGAGGGAGAAGTGGAGACAAGGCATGAGAGCACTAGATATATTTGCAATCTGACAGAAATGATCCAACGTGTTGGAAGGGGAGGGGCGGGGGGTGGAAGAAGTTCCTTTCTGCTAACTTTCTGAGTCCTAGGAAGCCACCATCAATTGCATGTCAGCTCACACCTGGTTTCAATTGCTTCCTCCTTTTCCCCATGCCTGCCCAGGTATACCAGTTTTTCAGCTGCCTCCCAGAAGATAAGGTCCCTTATGTGAACAGCTCTGGAGAGAAATACAGGATCAAGCAATTGCTGCACCAGCTTCCACCACACGACAGTGAGGTGAGAAAACAAAAAGTCCAACTTGCTGCTGCTGAGTGCATTCTGGCTCATGTCAGCCCGCTAGGGCAGAGGAGAACTGCCCCTTTGGGTTTCCAAGGTTAGAAAAGTTTGTCAGAGCAGAAAGCCTCATCTTTCTCCTTCAGAGCAGCTGGTGCTTTGAAACTTGTGGTTAGGAGCGCAGCGTGTAACCAACTGCGCCACCAAGGCTCCTAGCAGAATGTGAGCCCAAGAAAGAAGCCAAACTCGCTACCATTGAGTCGCTTCTGACTCAAAGAGACCCTATCATTTTCCCCACAGGGCGGAACTGCCCCATAGGTTTCTGAAAGGAACTCTTGATGGGCGTAGAAAGCCTTGTCTTTCTCCTGTGGAGCAGCTGGGGTTTTCAAACTGCTGACCTGTGCTTTGCAGCCCAACACATGACCCACTACCTCACCCAGGCTCCTTGTAAGGAGCACAGCAGGGCAGCTAGAAAGAAATGGGCGAGGTCTCAGGAGCAATTGGTGAACTGACCTGAAGAGAGTTGATGTGAGCGGACAGGGCAGGCAGAGGCAAGCAGGGGACACACCTTGGCACAACCACAGGTGGGCCTTAGAAGAAAGAAGGGAGGGGCACTTAAGGCAGAAGGCACCTTCTAACTAAACAAAAGCCTAGAAGTAGACTTTTGAAGGGTGGATGAAATTCAGCAGACGGGGGAACCTGGAAGACCCAAACACACACACACGTTCTTTACTCCCCCTAGGCACAATACTGCACAGCGCTGGAAGAAGATGAACAGAAAGAGCTCAGGGCCTTCAGCCAGCAGCGGAAGCGAGAGAACCTGGGACGGGGCACCGTGCGAATCTTCCCAGTGACCATCACTGGAGCCATCTGTGAGGAGGTGAGCCATGGAGGGCCTCTACAAGTGAGCAGTGGCTTTGCTTCAAGCCCCAGGGTGTGGGGGCCATCTCCAGGCCCTCAGGACAGGAGACCTGCCTTAGACACTAGTTAGGTCTCTAGGGGACCCTCTGGTGGAAGACTTCATCCTCAGTTCTCACTGTTAGCTCAAGTCTATCTTCAAGGAAGTCCTCCTGGGTGGTACCTTCTCTCTGGCTTCCTCAGCCAACTCGGGCATTGATGTAAGCATGGACTGTCTCTATGGCCCTCCATGTCTCTTATCGACTCGCCCATAAGAACCAACACAGTGGCAGAACAAGTCTCAGGTAGAATTTGTCCCCAAGGTCCGTTTGGTGAGTGGGATCTTTCCTCTGATCTTGCCATTTAGATGAGGTCTGTCACTAAGGTCTTGGTGGCTGGAGACAATCTCTATGGCCCGCCCTCGCCCACCCCAAATACACACTGGGTGTGGCTTTTCTTTATGGTTTCCCACATGCCCTGTAGACAGGACTTACCTTTAAGGTCACCCACAATGTCTCAAAATCACCCCATGGCACAGCCAGTCACAAAAATGTGCAGATGGAGGTGAAATGTGATGAATAGTAGTAGTGTCATAACGTGTCTACTTCAAAGGGGGATAATGACCAGGATCCGCCCAAAGCTGAGTAGATTCCCATGAGGTGGAGGTCAGACATACTTCCACCCTCCAACTTGTTTACCATTTCTGACACCAGCCATCCCTTCCACAACACTCGCTACTTCTCTTGTGGTTCAATGTGTTGTCACCACACAGAACTCACAAATTATCCTGACAGTGAAGTGGTTGATTAAGGAAGTACCAGGCTGCAACTGGGCATCGGGATCAGGAAGTACATAGGCACAGCCTCGTTTCTTCAGCTCTCTCAGCTCCTCAGCTTTCTTCAGCCTCCTGAGACAGACCTCCCACTCAGCGCCCTGAGGAGAGACTGTTCTCAGCCCTTCCAGAACAGGCTCCTGCCATCTGTCACTACTTATTCTGCCGCTGGGCCCCTCCCAGATCTGTTCCTGTCTTCAGTGTTATAGCCCTAGAGCCCATGTTAAAGCTGTTTTAGGTTCCCTGCCTCTAATCTGTTTTGCTCTCCCATCTCTTCCTCCTGCTCTGCCCACTTCCAGGTTAGGAAAACAAGCAAACAAAAACCCTCTGCAAGTAGCTGCATATAGACACAAGCCCTTTGTCAGTTTCAAGACATGGCCCTCCTACCAGGATCACAAACTGACCAATCTCCTCTTGGTAGGCCACAGATAGTTCTTTTGCATAGCTCATTGACCAATCCCTGCAAGGTGCATACTAATCACAGGGCAGACAGCAGCCCAGGACCAGCCAAAATAAACCGTCAAACCACAAGTTGTTTACATCTTAGCAGGAAATGTAAATCAGCCCGGCCAAAATTAACAAGCCCTCAAAAAACTGCCATCAAGTCAATGCCGACTCACAGTGACCCTATAGGGCAGGGTAGGACTGCCCCTGTGAGTTTCCAAGACTGCAATTCTATACAGGAGTACAAAGCCCTGTCTTTCTCCCTCGGAGTGTCGGGTGGTTTCAAACTGCTGACCTTGCAGTTAGCAAGCCAACATGTAACTGCCAGGCCGCCAGGCCTCCTTAACAAACCCTCTAGGTTAGAAAATTAGGGCAAAGGGCTTTCAGGGGACTTGGGGGCCGGGATGGGTGAGGGGGGAAATCTCTCAAGCTCTTTTCCTAAAGAACCAAAGCAAAGAGGCCACATAAAAAAAATCTCATCACAATGACTCCATCCATCTCATCGAACCCTCTTGGTGACTGCAGTGGTGTCTCTCCTTTGGCAGTGTGGGAAGCAGATTGGAGGTGGGGACATTGCAGTATTTGCCAGCCGTGCAGGCCTAGGTGCCTGCTGGCACCCTCAATGCTTCGTGTGTACCACGTGTCGGGAGCTGCTCGTGGACCTCATCTACTTCTACCATGCTGGCAAGGTCTACTGTGGTCGTCACCATGCCGAGCGCCTGCGCCCACGCTGCCAGGCCTGTGATGAGGTGCGTGCCTCCTGCCCAGGGGCGGGGTGGAGGGGGCAAAGCCATAGTCAAGCCCTTCTGACAGCCAAAGATGGCCTGCACCCCCAGATCATCTTCTCCCCTGAGTGCACAGAAGCTGAGGGCCGGCACTGGCACATGGGTCATTTCTGCTGCTTTGAGTGTGAAGCATCCTTAGGAGGGCAGCGCTATGTCATGCGTCAGAGTCGACCCCACTGCTGCACCTGCTACGAGGCCCGCCACGCGGAGTACTGTGATGGCTGTGGGGAACATATTGGTGGGTAAACATAGAAGTGGATAAAGGGGTGGGTGGATAGCTGGGTCATTCCCCTACCTCATCAGGATTTTTCCTGTCCTCCAGCCCCCACTTTCAGTGTACCCTGTACTCTTAAGTCTAGCCCTATGGGCCTTGATCATTCACTCTGTACTCCATTAAGCCAAGAATTGTACACTGAGTCCACCTACCCCTCCCAAACCAAATTCACTGTCATCCCTTCGATTCCAATTCAGGGGAGCCCCAGTGGACAGAGTAGAACCGCCCCTGTAGGTTTCCAAGACTCTTAACTTCACAGGAGTAGAAAGCCTCCTTTCTCCCTCGAAGACGTTGGGGGCTTGAACTGCTGACCTTGCAGCTCGCACCCCCAAATGGAACCCACTATGCTACCAGGTCTCCTCTGTCTACCACTAAAGTACCCTCTAATTCACAGCCTTGGGGTAATGACCTACCCTGTAAGACTAGGTCTTGCCATCAGCCTAAGCTAAGTTTTTCTCTTATAAGTCACACACTGCCCTCTATGGCTACCTTGTACCATCAATGCCACCCCTACCTTCTAAGTCCTGCCCCCCTCCAGGTCCAGCCTTCTACCTCTTCCTTCTACCTGAAGCCACCCTTAATATCTAATGCCAACCCCCCCCCCCCCCCAGGGCTAGCCTTCTGGGAGGAGCTTTCTAGGAAAGAAAAGGGAAGCAAGAAGGAAAATGAGGCATCCTGCCCCCGATTCTTCACTTCCTCCAGGGAAAGGCCTATTCTGGCGAGGGTGTTGATGTGCCCGGCAGGGAGGACTCAGCCTCAGTGTTCCCTCTCTCACCCTACAGGCCTGGAGCAGGGCCAAATGGCTTACGAGGGCCAGCACTGGCATGCCTCTGACCGCTGCTTCTGCTGCAGTCGCTGTGGACGCCCCCTGCTGGGCCGCCCCTTCTTGCCCCGCCGTGGCCTAATCTTCTGCTCGCGCGCCTGCAGCCTCCGGCCTGAGCCCACCGCTCAGGGGCCTGGCCGCCGCAGCTGGAGCGCAGGCACGGTCTCCGCATCAATGGCGACCTCCACAGCCTCTTTCTCTGCTGTCGAGGGCGTGTCGGATCCCAACACCAAAGGCACCAGTACAGAGCCGGCGCCTGGTGAGCTCCCTCCGGCCGCGCCCAGCCTCAGCCCCGCCTCAACCTTGGCTCTTCCCCTTGACTCACTGGGGCCCTGAACCTGCCTCCTCCACTTCAGACGAGGCTCCACCTCCGTCGCGTTCCAGGCCCGATCTACACCCTTTTGTGAAGCTAGTTTCTTATCCCTGTCCCTTCTGTACCAAACTTGTCCTCAACCTCAACTTGACTCTGCTTGAGCCCAGCTTTCTTCTCATTTCTTCTACCCATCCACATTCGAACACAAAAGTGCCTGTCCTCTTTATCCTAGGCCATCCCCTGACCTCCTGACCCAGCCCCAAACGCCAGTCCAATTTGTGTCCCTACTTCCTACCTGAAGCGCCCCCACCATCCTGCTCCTCTCTCACCCTTACTCGCTCGTTCCTGGGGTGCAAGGAAGCGGGAAGATCCTTCCGCAGGCCTCCCCACAGGAGGGTAGGCAGGGGACATCTCTCTTTTTCCAGCTGCAGGTCCTGAGGAGCCTGCCCGTTTTCAGCGGGGGACCCCACACCGCCACTCCATGCCCGAGCTGGGGCTTCGCAGTGCCCCTGAGCCCCCTCACCAGCCAGACTCGCGCCCAGAACACAGTGCCTTTGGCCGCCAGAGCGGCCCACGTGTCAGTTTCCGAGACCCTCTGGTATCTGAGGGAAGCCCACAGAGGACCTTGAGCGTGCCCCCAGCCCAGCGCCGCAGGCCGCGCAGTCCCCCACCCCGGACCTCCAGCCACCGCCGCCGACAGCATCAGCATCGACAGCATCAGCATCGCCATCACCGTCGCCTTCCCGGCAGAAGACACCATCAATGTGACTTAGGTTCAGGGTCAGATTCAGGATCTTGCTCCAGCTCGCCTTCCAGCCCCAGTTCTGAGTCCTCAGAAGATGACGGATTCTTCTTGGGGGAACGTATCCCTCTGCCCCCGCACCTGTGCAGGCCTGTGCCAGCTCAGGACTCTGTGACTGAGACTGCCAATTCATCACCCCCACTCCCCCTCGGGGATCCACGCTGCCCTGGGATTCCTCGCCAGGCCCGAGACAAGAACTGCATAGTGGCTTGAAGTCGAGTCAGTTCAGGGGGTGGGGGAGTGGGTTCTGGGTGTCCATTTTGGAGGCAGAGTAGATCAGTGTTTCTCAGAGTGCGCATGTCACCCCACCCTGGGCGACCCAAGGGGCTGCAAAAGCAGATGCCCATACTTTATCCTGGATTTTGAGCTACAGTGCAAACGTATTTAATTGCCAGGGAGGTGCTGAGTTTTGTTTCGCTTTTTTTTTCTTAAAGGGGGGCTGTAGGCCAAAGAAATTTTAAGGTCCCCTCCCTCCGTTGTGTTTGTACTACTGAAGTAATAATTTAATATTTTGTTGTAAAATGGCCTGGCTTCATCTCCTTGCTTCAGAACACTCTCCCACACACACACTTTTCCCTCTCCTCATGCTTGAGATTTATCGACATTTCATCAAAAGATCAATTGATTCATTATGTTTTCCAACTATCAATTTATTATTTATTTATCCCTCCATAGAAACACCCACCCACCCCCACCAAAAGAGGTTATTTGGAGAGAGAGATCACAATCTGGAGCTTGAAGTATAAAATCTGACATGCCCTCTGCCCTCATATTGGGGCTTAGGTGGGGCATGTTCCAGGTAAAATTGTTCCAGGTGTGTCTGCCTTTCCACACTGTAAAAGGAAAAGAGGGACCTGGGCACACCCAGAAAGGTAGCCACACCCAAGAGGGTTGGTTGGCAGTCTGGAAGACAAATTCTCCCAATAAAGACACTTTTACCTCACACGGGGCTGGGGTTGGTTGGGAGTGTGGTGGGGGTAGGGAGAATGTAGGTTGTTGTTTGCAGCTTGTGACCAGGTCTAAGGGCAGTTGGCCTACACCGGACCATCTGCGGGATCTGCAGGGTGAGAAAAGAGTAAAAGCATTGACTGGATGTTTCCATTTTACAGACAAGTCTATGACAAGTCAGGCCTTGGGCCAAAGCCATGAATACCAATAAGGGAAAGAATTGCCATTCATGCCCTAGGGAAGCCCTTTCTCTCCTCTGCCTCCTCAGCAGCCACCACACACTTACCAGTGGGCGCTGCTGTATGTCTTTGCTGCCGAAAAGGGAAGGTGAAGTAGGCATCGTAGCCAAAGAGGCACATACCAATTAGGCCCAGCACCTGGGGGAGAAAGGAGAGGACAGGAATGAAGGTAACTTGGATGGATAAGGCCTATCAGACTACTCAGCCTCTAACTTCCTGGTATCCACCTCTTCCAGTGACTGCCCTGTGCAAGTGAATCAAGCCCCAGGCAAGAACGCCTGGGGGCACCAGGAAAAGGCAGGAAACGATCTACACTGCCACCCCACTCCCAGTGCCTCTAAACACAGGGTAGCCCCACCAGGGCACCATATGCAGGGGTGCCACATCCACACTGTGTATTTATTAAGACAAATCTTCAGCAGATGATAATATATGCATTGAAAGAAGGACCACCTGTTGTTGGTACTTCACACAAAAATCCCTGTGTCAGTCAAGGGACAGCCCTTTACAGCAAATGCTGATCTTAAGAATGAGCTGAGAGTGAAGCACCAGGCTTGAGCCCGACTGGTCTGCAGCAAGGACACTTGAGACCCCGAGAGCAAACATAGAACTCGGTGGGTCACACGTTTTCTTCCAGAAGCAGAAATGCCCCCCTAGATCTGCAAACCCCTCTCCCTATGATTTGAAGCTGCTTTCTGCCTTTCCCAGGAACCCTCGGGACATAGTGGTTAAGCTTTAGGTCCCAGAGCCCCAAGTGCAGTTCAAACCACCAACTACTCCTCTAGAGAACAATAAGACACTTTCTACTCCAGTAACGAGCTAGTCTCGGAAACCCATAAGGGGCAGTTCTGCCCTGCCCTATGGGGTCGCCATTGGTCAAAATGAGCGTCCTGTTTTGTTTGGGGTCCCGCCTTTACCCCTGCGATGATTTTGGAGTGGTTTCCTTTCTCCACAAGGGCAACGATGGAAGTGATCAGGAAGAGGATGGCTGCGATGAGCGCTCGGAAGAAATCCTGTGAGGTGCGAGAGGAAGGCCGTGAACACCCCCCGGAACAACTCCAGTTGCCTGGTGCCTCCCCAGCCACCATCAGCCCCCCTTCTCACACTCCAGGGCCAGTTGATGAACTGTATCTTGTTGTGCAGGTCACACATGTAGATGACAAAGAAGACAGCAGCCAGGATCATCTCAACCACGGACAAGGAGGAATACGCTTGGGCGCCGGCCGAGGCGCTGAAGCAGATCAGAATCACCAGGCACAAGATCTAGAGGGGCGACACGGGAAAGGTCTTGATAAGCTCCCAAGACCGAAGAGGGGTCTAAAACTCACATGTCTTCCAGGGCTGGGAATGTGATAAGCATTTAAATTCTGTGCTTCCTGTATTGCAAGCATGGTGCTAACAGCTTTACAAATAGGAACTCATACAATCATGACAATAATCTAATTGTGTATATTAATATTATGAATATCTCTAGTTTATAAATGAGAAAAGGGAGGTAAAAGGAGGTCAAATGACGAGCTCAGGGTCACCCAGCTAGTAAAGGGTAAAATTGGACGTTTCAACTCCTCCCCTTTGCTCTTTTCAGACCAGGGTGGCTGTAGGGAGTGGTGCGGCAAGGTGTTTTGTGAGCACCACAGCACTCGCTCCGAGGCCCTGAGGAGGCGGGACAAACGCGTCCCCCTGCGCCTCCCCTCCCCCCTGCAATGCCTCGGGAACCGGGAGTGACACCAGAGGGCAGGGCTCTCAGTTTAAGACGACACACTCCTTTTACAAGTGTCTCCAAGGTACTGTTAAGGGGGAAGGAAACTCGGGCTTCCAAGTGGCCCCGAGCGCCAAAGGGCCTCCAGCAAGGTCCTAAAAGTACACGGAAGAAAGGAAAGAGACAGAGACAGAGACATGGGTGCCTTTCTACAGAGACTAGTGCGCGGCGGGGGAGGGGCGGAGTGTGGGGCATCCCAACATGCCTCGCCCCTGGGCACGCTGCCAGCCCGCCCGACAGTGCACAGGCCGCGCCACACCCTGCCACCGGAGGCCCCCCCCACTTCTCAACGCTAGAGAACCCTTTCGAAGAGTCCATGCGGGCTCCCCTCACTCGGTCTCCCGCATGCTCTGTTGGTGCCCGGCTCACGCCGTGGGCCAGGCACACCCGACCACCTTCCCCACCCACTCGCCCTGCGCCAAATGCCAGGCCTCTGTCAGGAACCCATCCACCCGTGTCCCACGGCCAAGCACCTTCAGTGGCGTGCCCGCCTCGCCCAGGACCGCACAGCTCCGCGTGTTCCAGCCACCCCACCCCGCCTTGGCCCACCGGCCTGCCCCGGGACGCTCACAATCTCAGCAAACAGGAGGATTCCCTTTCGGGTGCGCGCGAAGCTGGTGCAGGCAAGCCAACAGCCGGGGGCTGAGAGACGCTCTGAGTCGGCCATGGCGTGGACCGGAGTCCTTTGGGGGTGCAGACTGGCTCGAGGACGCTGCACACCCAGCGGTAGTGCCCGACGTCTGGCCGGGAAGGGGGCCCCCAGGGCGAAAGAGGGAGTGAATCACCGCGCGGAACCCAAGCGGGCGGGGCTGAAGAGGCCGGACCAGGTGGCTGCCGCCCCGGAAGCCCCCTCGCCCCGCCCTCCAAGGATACTCCTCACCCTGCCAAAGCCCCCGGGGCACCCCAACTCCCGAAAGCGCCTGCCTTTCAGGCTTGAGATGGCCGGAGAGAAGATGCGATGACCTTTCGCCTTTTGTCGTGCGATAGAGGCTGCCTCCACTCAGAACCTCGGGAATCCCGACTTTGAGAGAGAGACTCAGTTTCCTTAAAGATAAAAACGGACAATTAAACCTGAGACTCAGAGCTCAGTACGTTTCCAGAAGTCGGAATATTTCAAGTTTCCCTTCTGCTTATACAATATATTACTACATACTCTAAGCAGGATCAGGAACTGTTCTGTTTTGTTTTAAGTAAAGAAAGTGCACATATATTCATTTCCTCGAGCAAAGGTAAGTAGGATAAGAAAAGGCCGAAAACAGTCCCTTGTTAGGTCAGATTTCTAACCAAATGGTGCTAAACAAGTGGGGAAATTGACAAGTTTCCAGAGCTTTTTGACGTTTAGAGTTGCAGATGAAAGATCTTGGACCATGGAATACATAAACCTCTTCTCAGTGATGAGCAATAAAATGAGAGGTGTGAGGTTGCAAGAGCTGAGAACAGAGCCTGGTGAGCATGAAAAACTCGATAAATGGCAGTGTCAGAACTCAGGGGACTGAGGAACTGATTGTGTGTTATTAAGTTGGGAATTCTTGGCCCTAACTTCTGAGTCTCAGTTTCCTGATCCTGAGGGGAGGGGCCGTCACCTGTGCCCTAGATTCAAGAAGGTGAAGGAATGCAAGTTTACCCTTGAGACCTTGACAAGTGGAGGGGATGATGGCTCCTGGGATGTGATGATGCCAGTAACATTTGCAGCACGTTACTTTGATCAAACAAATTCTCTAGGCCCAGCCTCGATTTCTGCAGCTGAGATTTCACCTGACAGCTAGAATCAAGAGTCTTTAAGGTATGCCTAGGGGGGCATGATCTCCAGAATAGATTTTGATTTCTCATTCGAGACTGGAAAATAGCTATTGGAAGAACAGATCAACCCAAAGGCCTTCCTGCTCTCTCTCCCATTCGATCCCAGACCCTCAAAGCCAAGGAAAGGGTTACCCTCTTGCAACTCAAGCCGAGTGATTGAATGGTGCACAGTTTGAAACAGACTTTTCCATTGCTGGATGTGAGTTTTCTAAATCTCTAAGGACCAAATCTGAGTTTCTAGAACAGTACAGGCTCAATGCTACCTCAGGGCCTTTGCACTTTCTGTTCTCATTGCTGTCAATGCCCTACCCAAACTCTTCATTCAGGTTCCAGGTTAAATGTTATGTCTTAAAAGAAACCAATCTCTCCTAATATAACAAACTTTTACTATCTTCACATCTCTCTGAAATTATCCTTATTCATTTTCCTGTTTTTCTTGTTGAGCATTTCTCTATTCCCCCTCCCTTTCCCCCTCACCCACCCCCCCATCAGCTACAGGAAGGTAGAAATATTTGATTTTCTCCCTCCCAATCTCCCCAGTGCCTACAGTCAGGGCTCAAGTCATGCGAGTCAAAAGCACCAGGGTTTGGGGGATCTGGCCTGAATTAAACCTGGCCTCAATCCCTCCCTCAAGCTGGTTATACTCGGGCTCACTCTCCTCCTCTGGGAAACACACACATCAGAACTGTCCAGTAGATGGAACAAGATGAAGACACGAGGTAAAGTGAGAGGGAAGCAGGGATAAGACAAAGTGGCTAGGGTCACTACAATTAGTTTCCTGAGTGTGACTGTTTATAGGACTGGGCCTCTGGGGCCCTTTCCTGCCTTTGGTTGTGTCAGGGGTAGCTGGAAGCCCCGACACGCTGCCTGATAATGTTTATAGTACTAAGCACTCAAATATTCTCTCAATCCCACAGTCGGTTCTCCCAATTCCTCGGTCGGTTCTCTCCTTGCCAGCGCCACCCTGGGCTCTCACACTCAGTATCTTTATTTTCTCTTCCCCTCTTCCTCATAGGAGTGAGAGTTGACGGTTGCAGACTGACTACAGCTTCCTTCATTGGGGGGGATGGGGCTAAGTGTTCAGGATGTGGTGACAGAAGAGATGACTGGTCACTTTTGGTCTCTGGCAAAGCCTGCCTGGGGATACAACAGTTGGAGGCCCGCTAGCCATATAAGCCACGGCTGCAGGGCTCTGTTCCCATGGTGGAGACATTGGCCTCCCTTGGGAGTGCAACGCCCAGCGTGTGGCGTGTGCACACAAGTCCAGTTGGCCGCTGTTCATCGCCATCTACGGAGGAGATGGGCGCGGCCCAAAGGCTCTCACAGCCTTTTTTTAGCCCGTTGCGCCCAGGGGCGCTGACTCACACCTTCCCGGCTCCACCCCAAGGGGGCTC